AAAAATGCATGATGAAAGTACATTGGATGAGGTGAAAGAGACACAATACGTATCTCAATATATGTCTTTCTAGTTTCAGAAGGACCCTGCAAAACCGACTGTCCTCTGAAACGCTGCACAGGTATATAGTTTCAGCGTGATTCGTGGGTTATTCTTGATAAGAGCCAAATTTCTATGACTTCTTATAATCAGACGGCAACAGCAAGACTGACTTAGGAGTTTGGAGTCGATGGAGGCGACGAGCCAAAGTGAGCCCGGAGAAAAGGGACATCTCCGAGGCCAGAAAGGTGGGTACCCTGATCTGAAGAAGTTAGAAAGAGACAGACATGCTGTGTTATACAGGCTGTGGGGATATCATTCGTGGAGCACCACCTGACAATCGAACAACTGAAAGATCTCTATCCGGATTCATATATTCATCACGAATTCCCTGAACGTAGTGATGGCTTACACAGTGAGGAAGCCAGGTGAGCTGAGGTGTTTTCGTTTGGAAGAAGGTCAAAACTGAATGTGGAAGTACTAGGTGGTCCCCACCAAAAAAATTAAGGAACAGTCAAAATGCCGTTAACGTCCACTCCACCTTGCAGTGGAGTGGTACGAATTTAGGCACAACTTTCATGACACTGGCCCCTTGGTAGTTTACCAGGCGCACTTTCACGACCACCTTGTCCAAACTAACCTGCCCACCACTCTAAATTCCTTTTTGACGTGGGAGCTTCTCACAGGTTTCCTTTTACCAAGATACCCTATAGCAGCAGTCGATGCGTTGGCTGGGAGAAAGTCAAGTGGCGTTGGGGAAGGGCATCGAGTCGGAAGATCCTAGAACCAGCGGGGTGTAACCTAATGCCTTTCCACGATGATGCTCGGGATTCGGTTCAAGTCTAGCCGAGCGCCCACTGCTTTTAAAAAAAGTGTGGCTCATTCTTCAATTACAATTTAGAGTAAATGATTGAAATTTCAAGCTGTTACTTCAGGAAACGTTTGCGAGATGGTGGTGGAAACGTATTGCCTCCACCTAAGGAGGAACATCTCTTTCGGGTTTTTATCAGACAGTTTCATTTCAAATTCTGGCTATTATTAACGGGTGAGCTCCTTCCTGTTTTTTGGAGAAATTTGTTATAGAGTCGTCGATTTCATGGTACCTATCTGCCTCGGGAGAGACCGCTCTCCAGCAGAACTTAGTCACGTCATTTTGCCTTGATAAGAGGGTGCAATGAGAGCGTATCATGCTTTGACGTTGAATAAACCACGCTCCCTTGAAAGAGGGTGTGGGCACGCATAAAGGAGTCAGTCACACTGCAGAGTAACCCCTCCCAAAGCACACAACCAAAGCCATATCTTGTAATTGTAGATCTTGCAAAAGTTTTGAAGCAGCTGGAGTAGAGTACTTGTAGTGGTCTTTCGCCTAGCTTTCACACTTACAGAAAAAAGCTTGCTGCGAGTTAGCTGTCTCCGCCCCTACGACCGGTGTAAAAATGCCGTTATCGGCATTAGACAACATCCTCGTTTGCTAGTTCCCTCGCTTGCCTCTACCGTAACTATTTAGACTACCGTATCCTGTTCAGGTGCGGCGTTTCTCTCCATAGCCGCATATTTCGCGCACTATGCGCAGGGCTTCAACGAGCCGCTCAATCTCTATTGTGCCTTCATTTTATTACTTGTTGTGCTAGTAATGAGCCTTCTTTCTCTATGGCAGGAAAGCAAAGCTCGTAAGGTAAGTTTACGGGATCAATTACGAATTAATGTAGAGCAATAGAGGAAAGTCGAACAACGGAGAGGCAGAGGACTGGGTTGTGAGGCTGTTCAACCATCCTTCCCATCTCCATTGTTCTACTCCCGTTTCTTCGGTACTTCCCACTTTTTTTCAGGTTTTAAAAGGCTTCACGAAACTTCTACCATCAAAAGCAATTGTTATTAGAGATTGCGAAGAAAAGGAAATTAACACCGAGGACATCGTTGTGGGCGATCTGGTGGTTATCAGGTTCGTTAAGATTTGCACAGCCTGTATCTATTATTTTACTGTTCACTTTGTGACCTTCCTGTCTTCTTCTAGCTGTTTGCTCCATTACTTTTCATGTGCTTTCTTGTTCATTTATTGGTTACCCTTTCGATGTTTTTCTCTTGGGCTCCGTTTATACTTTCCGGCAGCGTCCACCAGCGACGAATAGCGTCCACCAGCGTTCCGAGCGTTCGGCAGCGTCAGCGACTAGGAAAGTATAGATATCGATCTAGCGTCCGTCTACCAGCGTCTGTCAGCGTCTGCCAGCGTCCACCAGCGACCAGCAGCGTTTTGAGGGCTGAGGAATATATAGGTATCGATCTAGCGTCTGCCTAGCGTCTACCAGCGACCAGCAGCGTCTGGAAGTGGAGAGTATGGGGCGATAGGAGGGTAGCAGACTGCTGGTAGAGAGCATGGCGTGATAGCAAACAACAGGACTATGGGGACATAGGAGTATAGCAGGCATCTGGTACCCTCCTGTCGCTCCAAACTCTCTGCTGTCTGCTGCAGTCTGCTTCTGGTCGCTGGTGGACGCTGATAAACGCTGGCAGACGCTAGATCGATATCTATACTTCCCTAGTTTTGACGTTCCCACTCGAACGCTGGTGGATGCTGCCGCAAAGTGTGAGCGCAGCTTAATGCAAAGCAGTTTGACTTTCAGATCAGGTTCTCGTATACCAGCTGATATCCGAATACTTCAGACGAACTGCCTCACGATTGAGGTGTCCGAAGTAACTGGTTAGGCAATTATGACTTTACGGAAAGTACTGCTAGTTCAATAATAAACTTCTGAGATCAGGTCGGAAGACGCCTGTGGAGTGCACAGTGGAGGCTGCAGCTCCGTACGTGTCGGTGTTCGATTCCCGAAATGTTGCCTTCAAAGGGTCATACTGTACAGAAGGTGATGGCCTCGGAATAGTCATTCGAACTGGAAAGTTCACAGTAAGTTACGAGTACTGTAGCCGAAGTACAACATCTTTAAATAGTTACCGCTTCAAGCACTTTTTAACCGATCGTCTCAGTTGGGAGTATATTTAAGGAACATTTTATTGTGGTGCAGAACAACGACTGTCTTAGGTGCTCGGTGGAATTGCAAATCTTGACACGCAAATCCCGCCCACCAAGAGTAAGCTGCAGGCGGAGCTGCGCACATTTGCACAATTCATCTCAGTACTAGCCATCTGTATGTCTGTGGGTATGTTCCTCATCGGCTGCATCGTCGCCAAGTGAGAGAATTGCATTCATTCGATTACCTTCACATACTGTTCTACCCATCAGAATCGTACGGTTTAGCGGACTTTATGAAGGGCTAATTCAGGTTCGAGAACGTTCTGGACCATTTCGTTGTTGGATTTCTCGTTGTCATTGTGGCCAATATTCCACAAGGTCTTCCGGCTACTGTAATGTCACAACTGAGAATCATTGCACGACGAATGGCACAAAAGAATATTTACATCAAGAAACTTGATCTCATTGGTTTGTGGTCATTTCAAACTTCTTTTTTAAAATCACAGAATAGAGGGTTATGCGTTTCACAGCTTCACGCTTACCTACTGTTAGAGAGACTTGTCTGAGACATTTCTATTACTTTTCAGACTTCAGTTATGAAGAATCTAGGCATAGCTAAATATCGGATGAAGGGCCATGAGTCGCTTTATTTGATGGGCTGCTTGTTGTTAATTGATTGGCACTTTCCTCACGATGCGTCGTGCATTCATTTTCACCCTGAAATCGTAGTTGCTTTCCAATGTGTGCTTGGCGTGTTACTAGAGGGTGCACTGATAGCGCTCACTGTCAGGCAGCGTTCATACTTCGCGACAGCAGCGGCGATCGCGGCGATGGCGGCAACCTCGGCGGTCACCGCGATCG